CTTGCATGGTGATGTCCATGGTGGCGGTCAGGTCCTCATGAGGCTGATCTCGCCGATCCAGTCGACAAAGGCATCGCCGCCAAAGATGGAGGTGAAGAACTCGGCGGGGTCGGCAAAACCCTCGCTGGGCTTGGCGTGGTCCTTGCCAAACTTGTCGTAAGCGGCCCGTAGGTCTTTATCGGAAAGGACCTGGTAGGCCTCGCCGATCTCCTGGAACTTTTCATGTGCGGAGGGGTCGTTGGGGTTCTTGTCTGGGCGGGGGTGTCAGCAGTGTCTCGTTCTCCGTCTGATGACGCCACGGGGGACGGCGGGAGAAAACGCACCTGGGTGGTGGACGATGGCCAGCTTGCGGTAGGCCTTCTTGATCTCGAGCTCGGAAGCCGTGGGTTGAACACCCAAGGTGTCGTAGTATGCGGTGTCCGCAACCATGATGGCGGTGGGTAGGAGAGATTATTCGGAGGGGGGTATCGGGGGGTCGGATGTCTCACTGAAGAGGGCAGGGATGGGTTGCTATTCGTAGCAAAGGCGATCTGGCGATATGGGAAGAGTAGGAGAAGGTGATCGAAGTTGCGGTCGTTGTTTTGTCAAGGTCAGATGGCCAAGTGAAAAGCACATGGAAATCCGGTGCCTGAAGGTGAGGTAGGTTGGTTCCCTCACCCGGTTGATGGCGGGCAAGTGGTACGTACCTCCTGGGTTGCTGGTGCTTGGGGGCCAGCCTTTTCGCGAAGCCCCGCCAAATTACGTCGTCGGTCAGCCCAAAAAAACGTGCCGCCAACTCATCCAGTGGCACTGGCAGTGGCACTGGCGGCTCTGCCTTGGATCACCACAGGCAGTACCGGTACCTAGTCTTAGTGTCTAGGTGGCCACCGTTGTCCCCATGGTCCGCCAGACAACCTTGTCCATTTTCGGGGGCCGTTCGGAAAGCGCATTACGTGTACCGCGGCTTGGAGGGGCTGATGACGTTGCTGTCTTTTTTTTTCATTGCTTCCACCACACCATGACATTTGCCCAGGATCGCCTGGTGACTCGTTGTCTCGGGCGCTCCGGTAGAATAGTGATAGTGAGGCATCGAAACCAGGACGTCGATATTCATGGCATTTCACTACTTGGCCTACGAAAGGTCTGCCTCTGCAACTCCCCTCGACATCGAGCTGTGGATGCGTCTTCCCAGGATGCGACTACACGCGGTACCTCAGAATATTACTCACAGTTACGAACCTGAACGCCTGCCAACAACATGCTTAGACACCCCTTACGTATTTCCGCATCATGGTCGACATCTCAATTAACACCAGCAGCCTTCATCCGCTGGAAACAGTTCCTATACGCATCGTGCACCTCGGGCACCTCGTACCCGTACTCCTTCAGCTTGCTGACGAGCTTGGTCGTGTCGAGCTTGCAGTTACTGCGCCCGGCCTTGATAACCTTGGCTTGTTCCTCGAGCGAGAAGTTCTTCCAGGTAAAATCAGGCCGCACAATCTCCTTGAACAGGCTGAGTACCTCGTTGTGGGAGATGGCGCCTGGGTTGGTAAAGTTGAAAACGCCCGTGTCCTTGTGCTCCGCCATGAGGATCGAGGCCGGCAAGAGATCGTAGAGGATCGTGTTGCTGTTGGGAATATCCACGACCCGATCATACTTGCTGATCTTGGTGACAAAGTTGCGCGAGTGCAAGTCGTCGCTGACGGGCATGCGCAGACGCAGGATGAGGCAGTTGGTGTAGTGTTTCAAGATCTGGCCCGAGTTAGCTTTTGACAGATTTGGGCGCGACGGCCAGAAAGGCTGACCTCCTCGACATGGCCCTTGGTGTCGGAGTAAAAGCTGCCCTTGAAATTGGCGGCATCCGTCTCGAGGTAGCCGGGCCCGCCAATAGGATGAGCGTCATCATACTGGTAGATGCAGCCAGTCGCAAAGACGGTACAGTGGATGCCCTTGAGGAAACAGGCGTCGGCAAGGTTGAGGGTGCCGATGACATTGGATCGCATCGTGGCCTCCTTGTTGTCCTCGCACCAGTCGACATTGGGCCGGCCTGTGCAACCTGCAGCGTTGAGTACGTGGGTTGGTCTGATCCGGTCGAGCTCGGCGAGGACGCCCTCGCGGTTCTCCATGCGAACAGTGGTTGTGTGAACCTCCTTCCCAGCGGCCTCAAGAAGACTCTTGAGGTGGCCGGCTACCCAGCCCTCGCCGCCCCAGATGAGGAAGCGATTGGGGCCCGAAGAGCCGCTGCTCGCACCGTTTGTGCCATTCATGCCGTTCGTAACTGACATGGTGACCGCTGAGGGTATGCTGAGCGAGTGAACGATGATGTTCCACGATGGATGCCAATGTGGGGTCGAACGGGATGCTGTTGTCGATCACAGGCACGGGAGAGGCACGGGATCCGTAGGCTAGATGCAATTGGGGACAGGAAACGCTGGAGATGCGATGAGTGTTTTTGTTCAGAATGAGAAGAAGAGCCAGAATCGATGGAAGCAGAAGAAAAAGAAAGTGATCAGGAAGGAAGGGATAGAGTGAAGACGTAGTGTCTCGTGGCAGGAACGAGGCAAGGGGAGGGGTCCAACTGCGACTGCGACTGCGACGAAGCGCTGGGCTCAGACCAATGTCAGGCAAAGCGTGTTGAACCTTGAACGGAAGACCGGGGAACGATGGTCGCACAACGTTCACTAATTGCTGTTCCATCTGAAGCTTAATCGCCTCGTCTCGTCTCGCATTTGGAGCGACATTTGCGCGGCAAATGGCACGAGGGGATGCAAGCTGGAGGAGCTTCAACTCATGTCCTTTGTTCCCATCCCAAACATGCTCCCACATCCCCTCTCGTTTGGAGCCCCCCCCCACCATGTAGAGCTCTCACATGTTGGTCAGAGCTCGAGGGTCCGCCATGACAATGTTGCCTTTCGTCATGGAGGCACGCCAAATGTATTGGGAGGAATCACATTGATCGAGGAAGTCTCGTCTCCATTGAATCATCTTTGCCTGCCCTCTCTGGCTTTCCCAATGTCGTATTAATGGCAACGCGTCTCAACGGCCACGCGGCGGTGAGCTTGCGGGGTCGAGCGTAACCTTTGAGAATGAGCCGCCATTTCGAAACCAACCACCACTGCGGCCGTTTGGGGTACAGCCGAGTCATACCTCTTGGGCCCGTGTGCGCCGACCAGATCAAAACCGCTCGAGTGCAACAATACCTACATGGTGCTTCGAGGGGTTGGCTGACCAGCATCCGCCTGTCGACTGGCTTATCGGGGCGAGGTGCATGGGCGCGGTCGCTTGGATCACTGCTAATGTACATTAATGAAGCCCGCCTAACAGCCGCAGATGATCATGCTCGAGAGATACGAGTTGCTCACGTGGCCTGATGAAGGAGACTTTGCCGAAGCTGGGACAGATCGTACAGGCTTCTGCGTTCGAGACTGTTCTGGTGGCTACCGGCATGGAGAGACGCAATGGGTGAGTTGACGACAAATATTTGAGGCATTCGTTGATGAAGTATGAATCGCATAGGGCACGCGGACACTATATTCGCAAAGACTAGCCTGTGGTGTCGAAATTCATAGTACACAATGCCGGCTGGAGCAGACAGCGTGTTTGGATGGTCACGACATGAACCACGCAAGCCTGTACTCGTCTGGTGGCGCGACGAACACAGAGACAAGCCGATGTCAGAAATGTGATGGGTTCAAGCCTGCAAACCAAGGCGCAATCAGCTTAAAAGACGATTTGCAATTCATTCGGGCCGCCCTTCGGTGGCGCCGTCGGCCATGTCCTTCAAGACCGGTCTCATCCATCGGCACCGCGTCGGCAACTGTTGCTTGATCAATACTGAGCCATTCCAAGGCCCCCCACGGAACGCCGACTCGGCACCGCGCACACTGGCTGGGCTTTCGGGCGGTCGGTGTAAAGTCGCACGCGGTTTGTGTGTGGCAGGCACCTGTCACTGGCAAGCACCAAGTGTAGCGTGGACCAGTGTGCAGTGCTCTGGAGCTGGGCCAAGCAATCATAGTGGCCAATTGGCTCGCTTGGGAGATTCACGCCCCTCTGAGCATCAGTGTGCGGCCACACGGGGCGTCGTAATAGCATGCTGACTACCTACCTCACATACCTTTCTCCAGATTCAAGGAGGCACCAGCCAGTCATCTTGCCCTTTCTGGTCCAAGGGTCCCGCCATTTTGGTCAGGGCAACTTGCTCTACCCACTACCCACGAACACCCCCAGAGGCCGTGGGGGGTGCCTAGAGCAAGTGAAGAAAGCCCGGTGGAGAAACGCTTCTGCCCCCTTCTCCTCAATCTCCCCAAGCCCCAAATGGTTGTGAATTCTTCCATCCATCCATCTTGGGTGTTCTCCTAACCTGCCACCTCCTCAC